TTGTAAGTTTCCATCGATAAAAATTTATTTTAGCCTGAAGTCTTTTCGCAGGCCAGAGCGTTTAACATCGGATCTTTAAATGTCTCTACTTCCGAGATGAAATATTGTAACTGTTTACAATATTTACACTGCATGGCCCAGAATATGAAAGCAGTGTTTGAAGAAATCTAATGACTTAACCTAAAAGAGATGTGAGTTCAATACTTGGCCACAGCAGAGGTGAACAAAAACTCGGAAAGTGGACTTACTCCAGGGAGAAAACTAAAACTGAGATACCAAGAAAAGGCATGACACGTGGAACAAGAACAATCTACCCAGGTAGACGAAATAAAGGGTTCGTTTCGAAATTAATGCGCATAACATCTGAAGAAGGTCGGAGCGTACAACGGCCGAAACTTTGTGAATATGACAAGGAAGATGAAGACAATAGACGGAACAATGTAAATAGTGTAAATAAACAGATTTTTTTTTTATCATTTTCTTTCATTTGCCAATTATATGAAATTTATTTCATCGATAAAAGCATTATTAATCTGAAGGACGCAATACGTAACATAGGATTTTCCTTCCATTTTGTCCTTCGATTACCCGTTATATAGGATTAATTTCGTTAATAAAACCGTTATTTGTCTGAACAGGTTCATGTGTCTCCTGTAAAATAAATAATCATCAGTATCCCGTAATTCTTGAAGAACATGTGGAATAAAAACAATATCGACAATGGGTCAAATTAGTGGATGACAAGGTTTGGAGGGAAAGAATGAAATTTTTGGACTTTGATGTCGGCTTTGTAACTAATTAGTCGATAGCGGTTTGATTAAGGGAAGAGTGAAAAATTAATCTACTTATTATTTCCTCGCCGACGTCGCCGTACCAGAAGGAAGAAAAACAAATCCAAGCAGCAACAGAACTAAGACAACACAAACAAAATAGACAATTGACAGGACTTAATGTGTGGATTTTGTTAACAAAAAAAGAAAAATTATCGATCCGGCTAAACAAAAATTAAATTAAACAAAAATAAAATCAAAGCTTCGAATACCGACATTACAAAAATAAACAGGACGTTCAAATCCTTTAAATTTAAATCAAGTCGAAAAAAAAAAAAAAAAAAACAAAAACAAAATGGACGATCAAGAGATATTACACAAAGTTTTCTGTTATGGTTTAATTTCAAAATCTTTATTAATGATTTAGTTCTTGATTCATATCAATTTTACTATTCATATTATCGGTTTGGTGCATAATTATCAGGCGTTTTATAAACAATATTTATTCTGATAAGAGAAACATAACAATTCAACAATAACATGTTTAAATAGTTATTCCGAAGCATATGATTATCGACTCGCATTTTTATAACATGAAAATAAAATAATATTTTTATTAAAAAAAGTAAACAAAATAGCAATATTTATTAACAAATATCTCACCTACAAAGACGCCTGATAATTATGCACCAACCCAATGATTTCTTTTTACTACTTACGGTCTTTTTCTTCAGGTTTTTTTGTTGTCGTTGCCATAACGTTTTCTGCCGTTCTGTTCTCCGGTATTCCGCAGTCGTATATCGATCTGTGTAACCTACAGGGAATTCTGAATCGGACCTTTTATTTAATTTACGGGTGTAGACTGTTCTCGTTCCATTGTTTATGTTTCGGGATATCGTCTAGCCCTTATTTAACATTGTTCTGTTATACCTCAACCATTTAAACTGAGAGCAATTACACACTGCCTAACACAGAGATTGAAATTATAACCATTATATCACCAAATACAAAAACCAATGCTTTTATCCTCTTAAAAATGCGTGGTACTTGTAGGTTTATATTACCATCGTAATTTTAGATCCCTATTACCGTTGTAATTGTAGGTTCCTATTACCATTGGAATTACAGATTCTTATTACCGTTGCACTTGTAAGTTCCCATTAATCTTGTACTTGTAGATCTGTTGAGATGTTGTGAGCTTCCCGCGTGTGGGCGTATGAATCAAGACAAACACAGTTGTAGGGGAACATACTGGTATATTTATAGAAGCAATTAACAATAGAGTGATTAGTAGAACGAAGGTTGGTTAGTACGAAACAATATCCAAAGTCTATAGTCCAACGGTATGTACCGGGTAAGCTTATCTGGACTGCTGACGCTGACTCTCTCCCCCAGAGCTGACTTATATAAGAGGGACCAGTCCATTACTAGTTAGAAGGTGGGTGCGCCCCAACAAGATCCATATTGCCATTGTAATTGTAAGTCCCTATTATCGTTGTACTTGTAGATCCCTATTAGCGTTGTACTTGTAAGTCCCTATTAATCTTGAATTTGTAGATCCATGTTACCGTTGTTATTGTAGATCCATATTAACTTTGTTCTTGTAAGTTCTTATTAATCTTGTACTTGTAGATGCATATTGCCGTTGTAATTGTAGTTCCCTATTATCATTGTACTTGTAGATCACTATTATCGTTGTATTTGTAAGTCCCTATTAATCTTGAATCTGTAGATCCATATTACCGTTGTAATTATAGATCCATATTATCTTTGTACATGTAAGTTCTTATTAATCTTGTACTTATACATCCATATTGATGTGTAACTAATTATCGGTGTCCTTGTAAGTCCCTATTAATCTTGCATTTGTAGATCCATGTTACCGTTGTAATTGTAGATCCATATCTTTGTACGTGTAAGTTCTTATTAATCTTGTACTTGTAGATCTATATTGCCGTTGTAATTGTAGGCCCCTATTATCGTTGTAATTGTAGGTCCCTATTATAGTTGTACGTGTAGGTTCCTATTACCGTTGTCCCTGTAAGTCCCTATTAAATTTTTATTTCTTTTTTCTGATATTTGGTATAATGTTCATATTCTCATTACTGTGCCATTCTCATTTCTCTTTTATATTTTGGAATCTTAGTAATGTTTCGGTTGGAAAAAAAAAGTCTACCCAGCAAAATTCCTAGACAAACCCTCTAAATGCACGCTAGGATTTCTTTCGAACCAATAAAAAAAAAGTCAATTCTTCATCTTATCCATACATTTTCGTCAGGAAGCTATAACAAGTTGACTGTAATCCTTTGGCATGTGAAAACTACTCCTTCTGTTTGAACGGTTTTACTTCATGACTCTTTTAGTGTCTGTCTGTTTTTTTTTTTTGTCTTGCATTAGATATATATTGTTAGTCTCATATTATTTTGTCCAGTTTTTTTTTCTCCTTCCTCTTATTGCTTATTGGTTATTTTTTAATTACTTATTCATAATTATTACAATTACGCTACAGTTTTACTTCTAGCCTTATATGAACTCCTGGATGCACAAGTCGTTCAATAGAAAAAAATGTGTCATAATTATGATAGACTATCGTTATATACTGACTATACGTAATAGACAACATATAATATATTGACTATAAGTAATAGACAGCAAATAAGAAGCATATTTGTTGTATATATACCGTCAAATACGGTATTTCCATTAATTTAATTCAATTAAGACGCATTTCTTTTAGTAAAATATCTTTTAATATTACCCTGCGTCTTATATGCTATTTGTAGGTTTAAAATTCGCGATAGTCGGCTGAAATTAGCTACATGAGAACTCCACTTAGCTTAAACATTAGAATAACTTTCATATACCTATTGTCATTATTTAAAAGTCTATTATGCAGATTAAATATGATATCATTGATAATATTTATTATATTAATTTCATCACGTTTAATATTAGTACTTTGTTTCACTAAAATATCAACCAAATGCTTACAAATATGTTCTTTAAGTAAAATTCTGTAAATTACAAATTTATCTTTATAATAAGCGCATTTATATATTCAAGAAGAGACTATTCCAATTTTCACAATTACTATCCTGAACACTGAAAGAGAAGTGATTTACCGTATTTAACGGCATATAAGGCTTACTTTTTTTTACTAAAAATATTTAAAATTCCCCTGCGTTTTACAGTGTAACCCGGATATAAGAGAATTATCGGGACCGGAGAAGTCTCTTATATCCGTGTTTCTCTTATATCCGGGTTTGGTCTATTTTGTTTAGGTAAGTATGGGCTCTAATTTGGGACCAGAGAAATTCTCTCTTATATCCGGGTTTCTCTTATATCCGGGTCTCTTATATCCGGGTTACTCTGTATATGCTATATGTAGGTTTAAAATTCACGATAGTCGGCCTAAATTAGATGACATTATTTAACGCGGATAATAGTAGTATTGAAAATGAGTATCAGAGTTTTGATAACTGTTATGATGTTAATTTGGGGTTAATAAAGACAAACGCCAAATAACATGAAACAATAAAATGGGGTTTATTCGGTTGGTAAGTTGGTACAGATATCGCCTGAGTAGTCTATAACTAACTCAGCTCAGAACTTCTTCTACACTGTCTTTTGACATGCCACTATTTAACGTCCTTGTTTGTAGAAGTGTTCATCTTCAAGAGGGGTGGTAGGTTCCTACACAACAATAACAAAGAATGAAGAATTTTGTGGATTTGAAGATGAATACTATTTTAATGGTAACGTATGTTTTGCTCAATTGTAATAATTGCTTGATTTTATTTTGTTTTCTTACCTTTGGATATAATAAGGTTTTTATAGGCTTGTGTTCTTTTTTTTCTATTATTTTTCGTTTAATTGTAATCATAGCTTGTTTCCCCAAAATGATACCTCAAATATGGCCTCGGCTGTACCATTTACTACTAATTTTACTAACTTTGCTAATTACTAATTTTTATTTATTTGCCCTGTTGAAATTGGAGTGCGCCAAATACGGTACTTATATTATTTGATATTTTTTTATTCTGTGAATACATTTCACTTTTGGGCTAAATATTTATGAATCATAGCAAAGGTATTCAGAAATGAAATTTTTGCTTTTGTTTTGCAGAAAAAAATGGAAAAATCTTAGATATCTATATAATTTAAAAATTGAGTTTTTTTCATTAATCTTTTGTAAAATAATTTTCTTTTTTTTTAAATCTCATTAGCTTCATGCTCAGTGAATCTTTTACATTTTTCTCTCTTCCAGTCGGTCTTTCTTTCTGCCAGTCGGTCTTTCTTTCTTCCAGTCGGTCTTTCTTTATTCCAGTCAGTTTTTATTTTTTCCAGTCGGTCTTTCTATTTTCCAGTCGGTTTTCTTTCTTCCAGTCGGTCTTTCTTTGTTTTCCAGTCGGTCTTTCTTTCTTCCAGTCGGTCTTTCTTTCTTCCAGTCGGTCTTTCTTTCCAGTCGGTCTTTCTTTCTTCCAGTCGGTCTTTCTTTTTTCCAGTCGGTCTTTCTTTTTTCCAGTCGGTCTTTCTTTCTTCCAGTCGGTCTTTCTATTTTCCAGTCAGTCTTTCTATTTTCCAGTCAGTCTTTCTTTCTTCCAGTCAGTCTTTTCTTTTTCGGCCATTCATCTTTTCCAGTCGGTCCTTCCAGTCGGTCTTTCTTTTTCCAGGTCTTTCTTTTCAGTTTTCTTTTTTTTTCCAGTCGGTCTTTCTACTTTTCCAGTTCTGTTTTCTTTTCCAGTCGGTCTTTTTTCATATTTTCTTTCCAGTCAGTTTTTTTCTTTCTTTTCTTTTTTTTTCCAGTTTCTTTTTCTTTCCAGTCGGTCTTTTCTTTTTCCAGTCGGTCTTTTTTTTCTTTCTTTCTTTTTTCTTTCTATTTTCCAGTCGGTTTTTTTCTTTGGTCTCTCTGTCTTTCATTTTCCAGTCAGTTTTTTTTTCTTCCCCTCGGTCTTTTTTTTTTTCCAGTCGGTTTTTCTTTCTTCCAGTTTTCTTTCTATTTTACAGTCTGGTCTTTTTTCCTTTTTCGGTCTTTCTTTCTTCCAGTCAGTCTTTCTTCTTTTCCAGTCGGTCTTTTTTCTTTTTTTCAGTCTTTTCTTTTTTCTTCCTTTCTTTTCTTTTTCCTTTCTTTTTTTTTTCTTTCTTTCTTTCTTCCAGTCTTTCTATTTTCCAGTCGGTTTTCTTTCTTTTCTTTCTTTCTTCCAGTCGGTATTTTTTTTTCTTCCAGTTTTCTTTCTTTTTCCAGTCGGTTTCTTCTTTTTCAGTCGGTCTTTCTATTTCCAGTCTTTCTTTCTTTTCCATAATTTTTCGGTCTTTCATTTTTTCTTCCATTCATCTTTTTTTCTTTTCTTCCAGTTTTCTTTTCTTTCTTCCAGTTGGTCTTTCTGTTTTGTCTTCCAGTCGGTCTTTTTTTCCATTTCTCTTTCTTTCAGCCATTCTTTTTTCCAGTTTCTTTCTTTCTTTCTATCTTCGGTCTTTCTTTTTTCTTTTTTCCAGTCGGTCTCTTTTTTCCAGTCGGTCTTTTTCTTTCCATTCGGTCTTTCTTTCTTCCAGTCGGTCTTTCTCTTTTCCAGTCGGTTTTTTCTTTTTCCAGTCGGTCTTTTTTTCCTTTCTTTCTTTTTTCAGTCAGTTTCTGTCAGTCTCTCTGTCTTTCTTTCTCCATTTTTTCATTTTCCTTTGGTCTTTCTTTTTTTCAGTCGGTCTTTTTCGGTCTTTCTTTCTTCCATTTTTTTTTTCTTTTCTTTTCTTTCTTTCTTCCAGTCGGTCTTTCTTTTTTTCTTTCTTTCTGTTCTTTCTTCCTGTCTGTCTTTCTATTTTTCTCTGTATTTTTTCATTTCTGCATTTCTTTTTCATAATATTTTTTCTTTTCCAGTTGGTCTTTTCTTTTCCACTTCGGTCTTTTTCTTTCTTCCAGTCGGTCTTTCTCTTTTCCGGTCGGCCTTTCTTTCTTCCAGTTGGTCTTTTCCTTTCCAGTAGGTTTTCTTTCTTCCAGTTTTTTCTTTCTTCTTTTCCAGTCGGTATTTTTTTTTTCCATTCATTTTTTTCTATTTTCCTTTTCGGTCTTTTTCATTTTCAGTCTTTCTTTCTTTCTTCCTTTCTTTCTTTCTTTTTCCAGTCGGTTTTTCTATTTTCTCTTGTCTTTTATTTTTCATTTCTAAATATTTCCTTTCTTCCGGTTTTACATTTTCATTTTTTTCCAGTCGGTCTTTTTCTTTCTTTCGGTTTTTCTTTTTTTCTTTCTTTCTTTTTTTTTCAATCGGTTTTCTTTCTTCCATTTCTGTCGGTCTTTCTATTTTTCAGTCGGTTTTCTTTCTTCCAGTATTCTTTCATTCCTCGATTCGGTCTTTCTTTTTTCCAGTCGGTCTTTTTTTCTTTCTATTTTCATTTCTTTCTTTCTTTTTCTTTTTTTCTTTCATTTTTTCCAGTCGGTCTTTCTTTCTTTTCCTTTCGGTCTTTCTTTTTTCAGTCTTTCTTTTCTTTCTTCCACTTTTTCTGGTCTTTCTATTTTCAGTAATTTAATTTTTCTTTCTGTCAATTTTTTTCTTTTCCATTTTTCTTTCTCTCTTCATCTTTTTTTTCTTTCTCTTTTCCTTTCTTTTTCTTTCTTTCTTTCCTTTCTTTTTTTCTGTCACTTTGACTCTCTTCTGTCCTTCTGTCTGTCTCGGTTTTTTTCATTTTGCATATCTTTCTTTCTTCCATAATAATTTTTAATACTTTTCCATTTTTTTGCCATTCATCTTTTTTTTCTTTTTTTTCTTCTTTTTTCTTTCTTTCTTTTTCTTTCTTTCTTTCTTTCTTTTTTTGTCACTTTGTCTCTCTCTCTCTTCTCTGTCTTTCTCTCTGTATTTTTCATTTCTGCATATCTTTCTTTCTTCCCATTTTTAATTCTTTTCCATTTTTTGCCATTCATCTTTTTCTTACTTCTTTTCTTTCTTCTTTTTTTTCTTTTTTTTTCTTTCTTTCTTTTTCTTTCTTTCGTCTTTCTTTCTTCACTTTGTCTCTGTCTTTCTCTTCTGTCTCTCTGTATTTTTTCATTTCTTCATATCTTTCTTTCTTCCATAATAATTTTTAATACTTTTCCATTTCTTGCCTTTCATCTTTTATACTTTCCATCTTTTTTTCTTTTTTCTTTCTTTCTTTCTTTCTTTCTTTCTTTTCTTTCTTTCTTTCTTTCTTTTCTTCTTTCTGTCTTTTTGACTCTCTGTCTTTCTCTCTCCATCTTTCTCTTTTCCAGTATTTTTCTTTCTTTTTCTGCATGTCTTTTCTTTCTTCCAGTAATTTTTAATCTTTTTTCATTTCTCTTTTTTAATACTTTCCATTTTTTTCCTTTCTTTCTTTCTTTCTTTCTTTCTTTTTTCTTTTTTCTTTCTTTCTTTCTGTCCTTTCTTTCTGTCTGTCTCTCTGTCTTTCTCTCTCTGTATTTTTTCATTTCTGCATATCTTTCTTTCTTTCCATAATAATTTTAATACTTTTCCATTTTTTCTGCCATTCATCTTTTTTTTCTTCATCCATCTTTTTTTCTTTCTTTTCTTTCTTTCTTTCTTTCTTTCTTTCTTTCTTTGACTCTCTGTCTGTCTCTCTCTGTCTGTCTCTCTGTATTTTTTCATTTCTTATCTTTCTTTCTTTCCAGTCTTTTTTTTTTTTGCCATTCATCTTTTTTTTTTTCTTCATCCTTTCTTTCTTTTCTTTCTTTTCTTTCTTCCTTTCTTTCTTTTTCCTTTCTTTCTGTCACTTTGACTTTTCTTTCTGTCTCCAGTCTGTCTCTGTCTTTTTTCATTTCTTTCTTTCTTTCTTCTTTTAATCTTTCTTTCTTTCATTTTTTGCCTTTCATCAGTCGGTTTCATCCATCTTTTTTTCTTTCTTTTCTTCCTTTCTTTCTTTCTTTTTTCTTTCTTTCTCTCTGTCTGTCTCTTTTGTTTTTTTTTTTCTTTTATCTTTCTTTCTCTCTTTTTAATTTTTAATTTCTTTCTTCCAGTCGGTTTTTCTTACTTTCATTTTTTCTTTCTTTCTTTTTTTTTCTTTCTTCTTTTCTTTTTTCTTTTCTTTCTTTCTTTCTTTCTTTCTGTCACTTTGACTCTTTCTGTCTGTCTGTCTGTCTGTCTCTCTCTGTATTTTTCATTTCTGCATATCTTTCTTTCTTCCATAATAATTTAATACTTTTTCCATTTTTTTGCCATTCATCTTTTTTTTTATACTTCATCCATCTTTTCTTTTTTTCTTTCTTTCTTTCTTTTCTTTCTTTCTGTCACTTTGACTCTTGTCTGTCTCTCAGTCTGTCTCTCTGTATTTTTTCATTTCTTATCTTTCTTTCTTCCATAATAATTTTTAATACTTTTTTTTTTTTTGCCATTCATCTTTTTATACTTCCTCCATCTTTTTCTTTCTTTATTTCTTTCTTTCTTTCTTTCTTTCTTTCTTTCTTTCTTTCTCTCTGTCTGTCTCTCTGTATTTTTTCATTTCTGCATATCTTTCTTTCTTCCATAATAATTTTTAATACTTTTCCATTTTTTTGCCATTCATCTTTTTTTCTTTCTTTCTTTTCTGTCACTTTGACTCTCTCTGTCTGTCTCTGTCTGTCTCTCTGTATTTTTTCATTTCTGCATATCTTTCTTTCTTCCATAATAATTTTTAATACTTTTCCATTTTTCTGCCATTCATCTTTTTATACTTCCTCCATCTTTTTTTTTCTTTCTTTCTTTCTTTCTTTCTTTCTTTCTTTCTTTCTTTCTTTCTTTCTGTCTGTCTGTCTCTCTGTATTTTTTCATTTCTGCATATCTTTCTTTCTTCCATAATAATTTTTAATACTTTTCCATTTTTTTGCCATTCATCTTTTTTATACTTCATCCATCTTTTTCTTTCTTTCTTTCTTTCTTTCTTTCTTTCTTTCTTTCTTTCTTTCTGTCACTTTGACTCTCTGTCTGTCTCTCTGTCTGTCTCTCTGTATTTTTCATTTCTGCATATCTTTCTTTCTTCCAGTCGGTCTTTTTTTTCTTTTTTCATTTTTCTGCCATTCATCTTTTTATACTTCATCCATTTTTTTTCTTTCTTTCTTTCTTTCTTTCTTTCTTTCTTTCTTTCTTTCTTTCTTTCTTTCTTTCTGTCACTTTGACTCTCTGTCTGTCTCTCTGTCTGTCTCTCTGTATTTTTTCATTTCTGCATATCTTTCTTTCTTCCATAATAATTTTTAATACTTTTCCATTTTTCTGCCATTCATCTTTTTTATACTTCATCCATCTTTTTCTTTCTTTTTTCTTTCTTTCTTTCTTTCTTTCTTTCTTTCTTTCTTTCTTTCTGTCACTTTGACTCTCTGTCTGTCTCTCTGTCTGTCTCTCTGTATTTTTTCATTTCTGCATATCTTTCTTTCTTCCATAATAATTTTTAATACTTTTCCATTTTTCTGCCATTCATCTTTTTATACTTCATCCATCTTTTTCTTTCTTTCTTTCTTTCTTTCTTTCTTTCTTCTTTCTGTCTGTCTTTGTATTTTTTCATTTCTCTCTGTCTGTCTCTCTGTCTGTCTCTGTTTTTTTCATTTCTGCATATCTTTCTTTCTTCCATAATAATTTTTAATACTTTTCCATTTTTCTGCCATTCATCTTTTTATACTTCATCCATCTTTTTCTTTCTTTCTTTCTTTCTTTCTTTCTTTCTGTCACTTTGACTCTCTGTCTGTCTCTCTGTCTGTCTCTCTGTATTTTTTCATTTCTGCATATCTTTCTTTCTTCCATAATAATTTTTAATACTTTTCCATTTTTCTGCCATTCATCTTTTTTATACTTCATCCATCTTTTTCTTTCTTTCTTTCTTTCTTTCTTTCTTTCTTTCTTTCTTTCTTTCTGTCACTTTGACTCTCTGTCTGTCTCTCTGTATTTTTTCATTTCTGCATATCTTTCTTTCTTCCATAATAATTTTTAATACTTTTCCATTTTTCTGCCATTCATCTTTTTTATACTTCATCCATCTTTTTCTTTCTTTTCTTTCTTTCTTTCTTTCTTTCTTTCTTTCTTTCTGTCACTTTGACTCTCTGTCTGTCTCTCTGTCTGTCTCTCTGTATTTTTTCATTTCTGCATATCTTTCTTTCTTCCATAATTTTTCGGTTTTCCATTTTTTCTGCCATTCATCTTTTTTTATACTTCATCCATCTTTTCTTTCTTTCTTTCTTTCTTTTTCTTTCTTTTTTTTTTCTTTCTTTCTTTCTGTCACTTTGACTCTCTGTCTGTCTCTCTGTCTGTCTCTCTGTATTTTTTCATTTCTGCATATCTTTCTTTCTTCCATAATAATTTTTAATACGTTTCAATTTTTTTGCCATTCATCTTTTTTATACTTCATCCATCTTTTTCTTTCTTTCTTTCTTTCTTTCTTTCTTTCTTTCTTTCTTTCTTTCTTTCTGTCACTTTGACTCTCTGTCTGTCTCTCTGTCTGTCTCTCTGTATTTTTTCATTTCTGCATATCTTTCTTTCTTCCATAATAATTTTTAATACTTTTCCATTTTTCTGCCATTCATCTTTTTATACTTCCTCCATCTTTTTCTTTCTTTCTTTCTTTCTTTCTTTCTTTCTTTCTTTCTTTCTTTCTTTCTTTCTTTCTTTCTTTCACGGTCTTTCTGTCTGTCTCTCTGTCTTTCTCTGTATTTTTCATTTCTGCATATCTTTCTTTCTTCCATAATAATTTTTAATACTTTTCCATTTTTTTGCCATTCATCTTTTTTATACTTCATCCATCTTTTTCTTTCTTTCTTTCTTTCTTTCTTTCTTTCTTTCTTTCTTTCTTTCTTTCTTTCTGTCTTTGTCTTTTTCTGTCTTCTCTCTGTCTGTCTCTCTGTATTTTTTTTTCATTTCTGCATATCTTTCTTTCTTCCATAATCTTTTTTAATACTTTTCCATTTTCTGCCATTTCTTCATCCATCTTTTTTTTTTTTCTTTCTTTCTTTCTTTCTTTCTTTCTTTCTTTTTTCTTTTTTCTTTCTGTCTTTCATTTTTTTCATTTCCAGTACTTCTCTGTCTTTCTCTTTTCTGTCTCTCTTTCTTTTTTCATTTTTCTTTCTTTCTTCCATAATAATTTTTTATTTCTTTTCCATTTTTTGCCATTCATCTTTTTTTTCCATCCATCTTTTCTTTCTTTTCTTTCTTTCTTTTTCTTTTTTCTTTCTTTCTTTCTTTCTTTCTTTTTCTTTGACTCTCTGTCTTCTCTGTCTGTCTCTCTGTATTTTTTCATTTCTGCATATCTTTCTTTTTCCATAATAATTTTTAATCTTTTTTCCATTTTTTTGCCATTCATCTTTTTATACTTCATCCATCTTTTTCTTTCTTTCTTTCTTTCTTTCTTTCTTTCTTTCTTTCTGTCTGTCTGTCTCTCTGTATTTTTTCATTTCTGCATATCTTTCTTTCTTCCATAATAATTTTAATCGGTTTTTTCCATTTTTTGCCATTCATCTTTTTTATACTTCATCCATCTTTTTCTTTCTTTCTTTCTTTCTTTCTTTTTCTTTTCTTTTCTTTCTTTCTTTTTCTGTCACTTTCTCTCTGTCTGTCTTTCTCTCTCTCTCTGTCTTTTTTTTTCATTTCTGCATATCTTTCTTTTCTTCCATAATAATTTTAATACTTTCCATTTTTTGCCATTCATCTTTTTTTTCTTCATCCATTTTTTCTTTCTTTCTTCCTTTCTTTTCTTTCTTTTTCTTTTCTTTCTTTCTTTCTTCCAGTCTCTGTCTCTCTTTGTCTCTCTGTATTTTTTCATTTCTGCATATCTTTCTTTCTTCCATAATATTTTTTAATACTTTTCCATTTTTTCTGCCATTCATCTTTTTTTACTTCATCCATCTTTTTCTTTCTTTCTTTCTTTCTTTCTTTCTTTCTTTCTTTCTTTCTTTCTTTCTTCTTTCTTTCTTGTGTCTTTTTCCATTTCTGCATATTTTTTTTTTCCATAATAATTTTTCTTTCTTTTTTTCGCCATTTTTTCCTCTTTCCATCTTTTCGGTTTCTGTCTTTTCATTTTTTTTTCTTTCATTCATCTTTTTAATACTTTTCCATCTTTTTTCTTCCTTCATCTTTTTTTCTTTCCAGTTTTCTTTCTTTCTTTCTTTCGTTTTTTTCTTCCTTTGACTCTCGGTCTTTCTTTCTTCCAGTCTGTATTTTTTTCATTTCTGCATATCTTTCTTTCTTCCTTAATAATTTTTAATACTTTTTCATTTTTCCAGTCATTCATCTTTTTTCTTCATCCATCTTTTTCTTTCTTTCTTTCTTTCTTTTTTTCTTTCTTTCTTTCTTTCTTTCTTTATTTTGTCTTTCTTTCTGTCTTTCTGTCTGTCTCTCTTTTCTTTCTTTCTTCCAATCTTTTCATTTTTTTTGCCATTTTCTTTTTTATACTTTTCCATCTTTTTTTCTTTCTTTCTTTCTTTCTTTCTTTCTTTCTTTCTTTCTTTCTTTCTTTCTGTCACTTTTTCTCTTTCTGTCTCAGTCTGTCTTCTCTTTTCATTTTTCATTTCTTTTTCTTTCTTTCCATAATAATTTTTTCTTTTCATTTTTTCTGCCATTCATCTTTTTTTATACTTTCTTTTTTTCTTTTTTTCTTTTTTTTTTTTTCTTTTCTTTTTCTTTTTCTGTCACTTTTGTCTGTCTCTTCTGTCTGTCTCTCTGTTTTTTCATTTCTGCATATCTTTTCTTTCTTCCATAATAATTTTAATACTTTTCCTTTTTTTTCTGCCATTCATCTTTTTATACTTCATCCAGTTTTTCTTTCTTTCTTTCTTTCTTTCTTTCTTTCTTTCTTTCTTTTTCTTTCTTTCGGTCTTTCTTTCTTCCACTCGGTCTTTCTTTCTTCAATCTGTATTTTTTTCATTTCCCATATCTTTCTTTCTTCCATTTATTTTTTTTTACTTTTTCCATTTTTTGCCATTCATCTTTTTTCTTCCATCCTGTTTTTTTCTTTTTTTCATTTTCTTTCTTTCTTTCTTTCTTTCTTTCTTTTCTTTTTTCTTTCTTTTTTTCTTTCTGTCTTTTGAGTCTTTCTTTCTGTCTCTCTGTCTTTCTTTCTTTCATTTTTCATTTCTTTTTTTTTCTTCGGTCTTTTTTTTCCAGTCGGTTTTTTTTTTTTGCCATTCATCTTTTTTTTTCCTTTCATCTTTTTTTCTTTCTTTTCTTTCTTTCTTTCTTTCTTTCTTTCTTTCTTTCTTTCTGTCAGTTTGTCTCTGTCTGTCTCTCTGTCTGTCTTTCTGTATTTTTCATTTCGGTATCTTTTCTTTCTTCCATAATAATTTTTAATCTTTTCCAGTTTTTCTGCCATTCATCTTTTTTTTCTTTCTTCCAGTCGGTCTTTTTTCTTTCTTTCTTTCTTTCTTTTTTCTTTCTTTCTTTCTTTCTTTCTGTCACTTTGACTCTGTCTGTCTCTCTGTCTGTCTCTCTCTTATTTTTCATTTCTGCATCTCTTTCTTTCTTCCATAATAATTTTTAATACTTTTCCAGTTTTTTTTGCCATTCATCGGTTTTTATACTTCATCCATCTTTTTCTTTCTTTTTTTTCTTTTCTTTCTTTCTTTTCTTTTTTCTTTCTTTCTTTTTTCTGTTTCTCTCTGTCTGTCTTTCTTCTCTCTGTATTTTTTCATTTCCAGTCTTTCTTTCTTCTTAATAATTTTAATACTTTTCCATTTTCTGCCATTCATTTTTTTTTTTTCTTCCATTTTTTTTCTTTTTTCTTTTTTCTTTCTTTCTTTCTTTTTTCTTTTCTTTCTTTTGTCACTTTGGTCTTTCTGTCTCTGTCTGTCTTCTCTTTTTTCATTTCTGCATATCTTTCTTTTTCTTCCATCTTTTTTTTTAGTTGGTTTTTTTTTTTTCCATTTTTTTTTTATTTTTTCTTTCCTGTAGGTTTCTTTCTTTTTTTTCTTTTTTCTTTCTTTCTTTTTCTTTCTTTCTTTCTTTCTTTTCTTTTTTCTTTTGTCACTTTTGCTCTTCTGTCTCTCTCTGTCTGTCTCTTTATTTTTTCATTTCTGCATATCTTTTCTTTCTTCCATAATAATTTTCTTTCTTTTCCTTTTTTTCTGCCATTCATCTTTTTCCTTCTTCTTTTTCCAGTTTCTTTCATTTTTAATTTTTCTTTTTTTTTTCAGTCTTTCTTTTTTTCTTCCACTTTGTCTTTTCTTTTTCCAGTCGGTCTTTCTTCTCTCTGTTTTTTTTTTTTCTTCATATCTTTCTTTCTTCCTTAATAATTTTTAATCTTTTCCATTTTTTGCCATCGGTTTTTTATTTTCTTTTTCTTTCTTTTCTTTCTTTTCTTTCTTTTTTTTCTTTCTTTCTTTTTTCTTTTTTTTT